AGACTCTTCGACTGAATATGGAGCCTCTTCGCGAGTCCTAACTAATCGATCTTTGGGAAGAAGGCAAGAAGACGCAATTTTTCTGAGAGGCGCTCTTGCTGAGGTGATCCCAAGGCGTGCTGAAAAGCTTCGCATGGTTTCCGCACATGTGAAGTAGACAGGCAGCGTGTAAACCCTGTCCAACCGTCACACTTCTCTCCTACTGGTAGTCTTATTCAGAAAATTCCCATCACTCTCCATAATGGGGTTTCCGCGCACCAGGCACGGCATATGGTGCGACGGAATTTTGCAATCAGGAGCGCGGCGCTCGGTGAGTGGTAAATTGTAACTGTGTGATTGGAAAAGTTTGGCTTCGGTAGATGTTTGATTTGCGTTGAAATTCTTCAACACTTAGACATCAAGAATGCATCAAACAAAATTGCAACAAGTCTTCAGTCAACAGACTCTTTGAGAGCTCATCCACTCCTGAGTGTGCTTTGATGCAAAACAAAGGAGGCAGGATTCCCTAGGATAATAGACAGGGTGCATTGTCGTCAGCGCAATGCCTTGTTATTCAGGTCTTTGTGATATACTTCATATTCAAGGTGGTGGTAGACGCCAAGATTTGCAATCTGAGGGCCGTTGGAAAGGGTTTCTGCACCTCAAAGATGCTGACACCTCATCCCAGTATTTGTCATGCATTGCGGACTTTCACGTTTCCTTCTCAAGGATGACGGCAACATTGGATGGACTACTTTGAGCCTGCTTTGACTTCACTACTAGCATTTAAAGTGCTGCTCGGTGTTCTTATGTGATCGTAGTGGTCAATTTGAAGTGATGGATGCTTTCTGCCGGTTTTTTGGACAGGCACTGCAATACAAGTGAGGGCGTCCAAACACTAAACTTTATGTAAGGATTGAAAACTCTCGTCATGAACACTTTGCTCTAAAAGGACAGCGCTGACTGGCGTATGGTTGTTTTCATCGCCTTTAGATTCCGAGAAGAAGTGCGCCCCCAATCATTGGCAGAGCGTTGAAGCAGAACTATGAAAAACCACCTCGCAACAAGGAGACCGAGCAGTGGAAGGTTGAACACAGTCCGGTTTCCCCTAGGGAGATTCCCGGCCTAAGCAGTCCCAGCACACCCCATCAGCAATGCCTCCGAGGAGGCCGGCTTGATGCGCCGATTGGCAGGGAGCACCGTCTGGCGAAGGGGCGGCCAAGACTACCAGGGCAGAAGTTTGGTTACAGATGGGCGCAGACGGGCCGGGTCGTGGTAGAGGAGAGATCTAACAGGGGGACCAGAGAGGTGTCTTCCAAGAGCAGGAGAGCGAGGCTGGCGGCGGAGAGGTTGAAGAAGAAGCGGAGGAAGGAAAGGAGGCGGGAAGAGAAGCTGGAGAAGGACAAGGAGGACGGCCAGTGGCTTTACGATGTCGAGCCAACTGATGCTCAGTGTAACGGTACGGAAGCCGACC